TTCTCCTGCTTCTGTACGAATAGACGATGGAAATAGATATCTTCATCAGCTTGTCATATCTTACTGTATCGAATGCTTTATGGTAATCGATAAAGCATGCAATTTACATCTCTACATTGTTGAAATAGCACTTGTGTGCTGAAGAGAGAATAGTACCCACTATTCCGAAAATCAAACTGTGTACTGCTGATTTTTTCTTCACATAGTCTATATATTCTTTGATGTATGATTTTTTAAACTAACTTTAAAATGTGGCTCAAACCCCTCAAAACCTGACCCCCTTAAAACTTATTCAAAAATGTTTTTTTTTTTCAATTTAGCAATAAAATGGATTAAGATATAATCTACTTCAGGCATTTTTGTTTCAAATATACCTAGGTGGTCGTAAATAGCTGTCTAAATATTCATACGCTAGGCTTTCACAACACCATGTTTTTATTAGAAATTATACAATAATAGAAACGAAACTAATGAACTTATAAAAGTTTACAAAGAAAACTTAAAATTATAAACAAAATAAATTTATCTCAAGTGGTACAATTTAAAACAGTTAATGTGAAGTCCAACATTACATTTGCTGCAAATAAAAGTTACGCATTTGTGGCATCTTGCACACTGTCTCTGTCTTTGATTTTTGATCGGCCAATGATCAAGTCTGTCATATCGAACTTCATCAAGGACACTTGAGGTTCTTTGAGGTGTAGGAATACGATGATTAGGTGTTGATAATATAGGATTTACTATTTATCGAATGAAATCTATTTGTTTGATTTTTGGCTCGATGTTTCTAAATAATAACCAGGAGTTCACTATCGACGCATTTATCATTTATGATTATCATTTATGATTTGAGGTCGATTTTGAATTTATTTTTTGTTTTTAAATCAGAATCCTCTTTCAACTCTTCTACAAAATGCAAGGGTTTCCACGAACGTCTTGTTTTTTCGACTTTTAATTTATTAGGCTTAGGTCTAAATAATATCTATTCCATTATTTCACGGTCGTGTGTAATTATTTCCACCTGAGAGCACTCTGCTAGTAGACCAGGGCCCAATAAATTCACGCTATTAGTATTCTTCCTCTGAAACTTCATCGATATCCGTGTCTCCGTCGTTTTCAGGAGGAAACAGAAACAATGTAATGTCTATTAATTGTGCACCAGCAAGTTCATCGTCACTATCGGACTCTTCCAGACATGCTATTAGCTCTTCGGTAGTGAGTGGTCTCCTAAAAACAACAAATATAAAATTACAATGCCTAACTAAACTAATGCTCATAAAATCCTAACGTATGAATTTTCATACGCTTAATTTTTGAATACCCTCGGTAACACAAAGTGATTCTATATACCACTAAATGTAAACAGTAGTGTAATATAACCTCTAAATGAATGAATAAACAAAGAATCTGACTAAAAACATAACAACTTATGAATATTTTTGTATAAAGACTTACCTCCTCTTCCACTTTTGACGAAATTTAGTTGCGTCATTTTGATTTGATTTAGAAGCCATATTTTTAACGAAATACACCAAATAACCGGTAAAATGTAAACACCACACGTTATTCAATTGATATTTGACACAATTAATAGAAACCAGTGCCGTCTTTTCCCTGCAAGGTTAACCAAAAATGGTATGTTTTGCGTATGAATATTTAGACGGTAGGTTTTGAGGGGTTTAAGCTGATGGTCCGGAAATCATTGCAAAATACGGATTTTATTTTCTTTGGTAGAGCAACAAACATTGACTTTGAGTTTATACAGCATATACATTGTTAGGTCCAGGAGCGTTGCCATCTTTTAGTATTTATATTGCTTTTTCCACTTCATTTGATGTGATTGGTAAGTGGTCATTACATAATATAGGACAGAGGTTGTTTAGACCTATTATTATCAAATAATTCTTGTATGTATTTAACGTATGCATATTTTTGAATTTTTATATGTAATGACGTTCCCCTGTTAATCTTGCAGCTGTCCAGCTGTGTTAAATTTTTTAAAACCAGCTGCTTGTTTTACCTTTTTATGCATACTAAATGTATCGTGTTTTTGTTCCAACAAGTCTATTTCTTCACACTATGTTTTTAATTAATTGTGTTGGGCCTTTCGTATTTCGATTCTTATTTGTCTCAAAATAGTTTTGTATATTCTTTTGCTATTCTTTGATTTTCTTCTTTTTTCCATAAGTTTCAGTATATTTTCATTTATCCAAATTTTCCTATTCTTTTTATTTTCTATTAGATGTTCTTTTTTGATCTTGGTAAAGGTTTTACATATATTCTGGAGTGATTCTTCTGGATCATATGTTTGCTTCATCTAACTTAGCTTTTCTGAAAGAATTCGTGCGACTGACATTTGTTTCTTAATCTTTTAATCTTCTCATATCACATTTTTTGTTACTGTTCTTTTTTGTAAGCTTTTTAAATCTAAACTTAAATAGACTAGTAATCGGAATATGATCTGATGATACGTTAGCACCCGGGAACTTTTAACTGATAGTCATCCATTACGGAATCTCTTGTTCACTATTATATAATCAATTTGATTTCCTATTACGTTTCCTGGTTGATCTTGTGAAGAGACCCAAGTATACCAACGTGTTGATGATATGGTAGTTTAATAAAGGTATTTAATATTGCAAATTCATCTTACTTTATAAATAGTTTTATTTATTACCTTATTTCGTTTCTCTTCCCTAGACCAAGTATTTCATGATTAGTAGCTATTTCTACTTTAGTTGTGTTTACAATGATAGTTGTACTAGAATTGTCATCAGGGACATTTAATGTTATAGTTTTTCATTTCCTTTTGCATTCTGATACCGTTGACCACTTTCTTGGTTCTTCCGCCTTAATCTCAGGACTACAGAGTGCCCTTCCACTTACCAGCTTATCCGTCTAAAGCAGTTAGCTAACAAATGGTGAATTGCTTATTCCAGAAAACACTCGGACCATGATCAAAAATGACCATGATCTAGCTAGATCATCATACGAGCAGGTGAGGTTGACATTTGAATAGAAGAGGCTGTATGTTGAGCATCGCTAGCCCAATATACGTCTAGAAAACCATACATGCAATATAGCGGTATAAAAAGTAATCGAATACTGTAGGAGAACTAGACTACAGATCATTGGTTGTAATTGCGGACCTGAACCTTCTGAATCCCCATTTAGAGGGTGTCCCTCTTCAGTAGGGCTGCAGGGCTGTCCCCCCTTTTGCGAGAGTTTCGAGTAACAAAGAGTAATGTCAGTTACAATTAGGGATGTTAGAATGCTATTGTGGGGCAACGCCAACTAAATGTTGGTTTGATTGAAAGTGTGGAGGTTAGTTTAGTTATTTTATAGTGAGGAAGATACCTTGTGTGTTATCAGCTATATTATGAAAACGGCTCTTGCCAAGAGAACTTTCAGGTTGATGTACCCAAATTTGCCAGATAGTGCTTCTAGGAAGTTATATCTCTGCTTTTTAACCAATGTAAGTATTTATGATGTTAGTGTCTCAGTTGTGATGAACATTAAATACAGGATATCTAATTAAGATAGCCTGTGTTTTGGACTGATTAAGTCTAACTCTCCATTTATTACATCACTTTATAAGTTTTGCTAATTGATCTTGTACTTTGTTGGTCGTATTCTCAGCATCCCGTCAACAGAACCTACGGTAAGAAGTACAGTATCGTCAATATATTATAAGATAGTCAAGTCAGTTTTTTATCGCAAAATGTACGAAAGGACCAACGAACTACAAAATTAACTCTTGTCTTAAACAACAAACCAGGAATCAGCAGACATGAGATGATCAAACTAGGTAGAAACGTAATTAACCAGGCTTTGGCCGAACTATCACAGACAAAATCCACCATAGAAAAACCTTTACAAGGGAACAGTGCAGTCGTTTTATTATTACACAAAAAAGGAGACATAACAGCACCAAAAAACTGTCGTTCTTTTAGTATGCTAAATTTAAAAGTAAAATTCATGTAACATTCTGGCTATGGTCTAGTGTTAAACTTTTAGGTCACGCAAGTTCCCCTAATATGACTTAACGATTACTTTTGTAGTCGGGACCGACGGCTTTACGTGCCGATGCTTTACGAAGCACGGTACCAGCTCAATTAAATTAGAAATAGAACATTTTGTCATTACCGGGATTCGAACCCAGGCTCTTTAGCTTGTTAAGCCAGTAACATAGCCACTGCTGCCACTTCTATATGCTATACCACACATTTAAACTTTTCACCAAAAGTTATCAAAACAAGTCTAGAGGATAAGTGAGTTTTGTGTCAGTCCAAGAAACAATCTGGTACACTGGATACTATAAGTTAGCAGAAAATGTTAGCAACGTAGACAGAATGTCGAATAGACCATTACAACACTGACATCATCCTGGACAAGAACAAATAAATTCTAAATAAAGCAAGAAGTACGGCAAGAAAACACCGTCCCTTCAAAGCTATTCACGACAATTTTAAAAACACTACTAGTTTAAATGCAGATCTGAACGATTATTTCAACATAGAGAGAAACTTAGTCATTTGAGATTCTGAGAAAATATTGTTCTTATAGCCGATCGTATAGATAACGCAATAATAGTGATGGAAAAATTATATTAGGTTTCTTTGACTGTTGTATTAAAGATCATGATCTATGTGGTGCTTAATCGTAATATTGCTCTTGATTGAAAGGATATTGAGTAGACTGCGAATCTAAATCGGACCTATATTATAGCCAATAAACTAGGCCTTATCCTTTATTTGTACATAATAAGACATTTTTTGAGATATCGCACTGCCGCTGTCGCACGCTGAGTGGCAATGACTGTTTACATGCTACTTGCTGTCTCGTCGGTGCTCGGAGTTATTTATTGCTTGTTAAATTTTTTTTAACTATGATTTAGTGGAGCAATGACCAAGTTTTTAAAACCAGATTTATAAATTTTAGGATTGGAATGAGAAAAAGAAAAAAAAACGAAAAGGAGTATGTGATAATACAAACACTACTAATATTTACTGTTTATTTTAATATAAATTAAATATAAATATTTTTCACTTGATATTATTTAATTTTTGTTATTGGAAGGACTGTAATTTGCGATAGCGTCTGTTATAGCATTTAATAATGGATATTTATCACCATAATCTCCATTAAAATCGTCTAGTTCAAGAGCCCAAAACATAATTCCACCAAGTTTCTGTTCCATTGCATAGTTAACCTAAAAAAAGAGATATTTTTGAAATTAACTGCAGTATACGAAAATTGTCGATTGATGAATGCTCATAACCAACTTCATTTTATTTGCCATTTTCCTATATTATTGTGTATGCTTTAAAACACCATTACAACAAAAGTTTTTCTATTGGTAATGTTTCAGAAATGAACATATTGTTTTAAAATATAAAATAAAGAAGTACAAGTTTGAACGCGACACCCGACTGAGCGGCGTCTGACGTCTGACCCTGTTAAATATTTTTCAGACCTAAATAAAATAGGGGTAATTTTCCCGTTCACGCATTATGTAGTGTTTTATCAGTTTAGTAAGATCAGTTCAAGTTGACACATGGCCATCGAGGCATCTCATCGAGTAGTTAAAAACTCGCAGTTCACGTATTAAATATTTCTCTTCGCCGAAATCGGGCATTTTCTTATACCGGTGTTTTTCTTTTACGTGTTATAAATAAAGAGTACATTTAATATTGTATAGTTGTTATAAGTTACGGCCGTGTTGAGCCTCTCTACTCTTAAAAGATTTATTTATAAATCGCTAAGCTCAAAAGTGATTTTATTTCTCTGGAGCTATATTTGCTCACATTAAGAATCCTTAAACGGTCACTGAAGAACCAAATCTATGGAGATGTATTCATTCACGAGTCATTTGAAGTAAAGCTTGGAATTCAAAGAATTCCAACTCTCGTGATGTAGGTAGCCAGATGCAGGGCTCCCTCAGGTAAATTAGTTATTTTTATTTATTTAAATTTAGGGCGCATCAACCTATGTGCATATCTGCGCATAGATTCAGGCGCATTTAATTTAAATATATAAAAAAAACTGTTATTGATTAAAACAAAAACTTTGGTAAATAATAGTGATGACGTAATTTATATATCTTTTAATAATATTTTTTTAACCGATGTGTATGATCTGCTGTTTACATACATAAACTTGTCTAAACATATATGCCATATTTTTCATGGTCTGAGGAAAATTTGCAACATCTTTTTATATTATGTAGCATTTTAAATCACCTTGTATGTATCAAAACACCAAAAAAGTATTTTTAATCCTTTTGCATCGCTGAAGTTGTTAATAAACACATTTTAAATTTTGTTTATATATCACATATGTGTATTTCATAGGTATTCTTTTAATCAAGGTGCCGCTTTAGGATATTTTGCAAATAAACAAAATATTTTCGTTTATGTTTCATTTCTACCAAGTTGGGTGAACGATTTTTGAAGAGAATGAAATCACTCTCAGTGAAGCCTCTGTCAAAGACAGTTGGTTTCAATTGACACATACCTAATCATAATTGAGATCTTGTGTTGTTTCTGTTTTTTACAAAAAGGTTAACCTCTGTGCATAGTTCTATTCAAAAAGATATTTTTCATTTGTAATAATTTATTTCTGCTACAAAATATCGCCCAGTAACAATTGTAAGTTCTTATAATATCTCCAACTTCAAGAGTTTGTAAATCGATAGGAAAATAGTAAGTTTATTTTTTGTTATTTTGTATTAATATTTATATTTGTAACTATTTGTGGTGAGACAACAATAAAGATGTAATAATTTTTCCCGAAAAAGAGCATTATTTGTTTTAAAAAGTTTTTCTAACCCTTTTTTATATTTTTAGGAAGGAAGAGCCTTTCTTTCATCAAGCATGAACATTTTCCTAAGCGGCTTCCTTATTTAAAATAGCTTAAGAACCTTCTTGTGTTGTGTTTGTTCCAGGAGATTCATATAACTATTCCTTTCGTGTCATTTTTGACGTAACCTTATTGCAGTTCCCTTGTCATTCACTTATCTGCGGCCCAGCTCTCCAGAAAAACCCTGAGTAGCCGTTCGCAAACATTTTGGTGTTTGTTTTACCTACCCTATCTCTAGCCCCTTTAATTTCCATCTCCAATTTTCAACCCTTTATAGTAATACCATATGTGGTAGGCAAAATAATCGTTACAATTAAACAACTAATATTTAAGTTAAAACATGCTCTGACCATATTAGCATAATAGGCTCTCTCATTCTGATATTAGTTATCGCCACTTCTTGACGTACCCTTATATATAGGTTTAATTTTTTTTTGTCAGTATCTATCTATCTATAGCTCAAAATATATTCATGTGTTGAATATAGGCCTCTCCCATTTGTCTCCATTTATCTCTGTCTTCTGTTTGTTGTTTCGGTTTTGCATATTATCCACTCGTTCCTCTTTTTATCTCTCAACGATATTACCAACATTTGTCTTTCCATTGCTTTTTGAGTTTTCTTTATTCTATCCAAGTTGCTCTTGGAACACGTTCACGTCTGGGCACCATATGTCAGAACAGGTAGGACGCATCCATAAATACCTTTGTTCTCAATTTTAAATGTATCTTTTGGTTTTTGATAGTATATGAGAGTTTTCCGAATGCGGAAAATGCGGATACCCCATTCTTGTTTTTCTGGTTATTTCTTTAGTCTGGTTACTTTTGTCTGCTCTGATGGCTTGTCCTAAGTAAATATATTCTTCGACGTGTTCTATGTTTGTTCCAACTATGGTAATTACTGATCTGTCTTCTGTATTAGTTATTATTTTAATTTTCTTTAGATTCATTTTTAGTTTTTTCTCAAGCGATGTTTTTTCTAGGTCTGAAATCATTATTCGTAGTTGTTCTATAGTTGTTGCTATCAGAAGTACATCATCGGCGAAACTTAGATGATTTAAATATTTCCAGTTTATACAAATCCCTTTATTGTCCCAGTATATAGATTTAAAAATGTCTTCGAACGCCAGAGTAAATAGTTTGGGTGAGATTGTATCCCCTTGTCTGACATCTCTACAAATTCTAATTAATGAAGGTTGCAAATCTCTGTCTAGCTGAATTCTCATGGTGGAGTTTTGATATATATATATATATATATATATATATATATATATATATATATATATATATATATATATATATATTGTGGATTAACATTCTATACTGTGAATCTATTCGGCAATTAACTAGCGCTTCTTCCACTGCCCATAGTTCAATGCTGTCAAACGCTTTTTCATAGTCAACAAACGCTAGGTATATTGGAAGGTTGTATTCGTTGGTATTTTCCATCAATATTTTAAGAGTGTAAAGGTCTGCTCAACCGGTTGGTATGCATCAAGTTTGTTGTTTAGTCTAGTTGTGATCACCTTAGTGAAAGTTTTATAGATTTATGACAAGAGTGATATTGGTCTTTAGTTAGCTAATTTTGATCTATTTTCTTTTTTATATATCAGAATTGTATTTGCCTTGATTCACTCTTGCGGTATTTGTCCTTCAAACAAACATTTATTGAAAAGTATCTTTAGGTAGTCTTTTATCTTTTCCCCTCCTTCTTTTAACATTTGAATTAGATCCGTAAAATAGTTTCGAAACACAATTCAGATTTCTGCTTATAATCTGACCCTTCTAAAAATTGCATGGGAAACAGACGTTGATAAAAGATGTTAAAAGGGACATGAGGAATCTAAAATTTGCATTCCACGACATGTCTTTTACAACTAAGCAGAAATCCTTAGCGAATTGTGTTTCTCGTACTTACACAGAGCATATCCGAATAAAATGAAAAAGACAGCAAATATTTGATTTCACGCAAACAACTCCTATGTATCTGTTGATACGTATTTTGACCTAATAGGTCTCATCAGGACAGCTATTCATAGGTATTCTCAACGTGAAAAATCAATATTTTCTGTCTTTTAAGAAGCAACACTAAAATGGCTTCAATACGGACGCGATAGCGACATCTAATAATATCTAGAGACATCTTTTTTCATTATTGAAATAATTAATTGGAATTGGATAATTGGAAATAAGGATTTGTATTATTTCTTTCTAGTTGGCCCGAGTTTACAACACTAAATAAATTATGGTTTAGTGACATCGACTAATGTATCAAAGTAGACTGCTATATTGCTTTTATTTAAACTACAAATAAACTTACTATTTATATGAATTAGATAATCAAAAGTAGGGTCAATGATTTGCAGTGACATAACTGTTTACTTTTTCTTTCTTATAACCATTGCAGTAAACTCTGTTAATATAATATTCAGAACCTAATAAGAGTAGACAAAAATTAAATTTTTTAGTTTTTTTGGTATCTATTAAGTCAATTTTATCTAGAGTAGATCACTAAATCATGAAATGATTAAGTTTGTTGGAGAACAACTACAAAGAAAAATATATCAGCTCCTAGTGCAAGTATGGGAAAAGGAAATAATGCAATCGGAGTGTATAAGGCCCGCATATGCCCTCTGTATAAAATAGTAGACAAACTGAAGTGTGACAACTATAGAGGTATAGCCTTGCTAGACACGGTATACAAAATCTTGGCAAGAATATTGAGAAATAAACTAAATTGCTAAACGGAAAAAATCCTGAATGAGTATGAGGCCGGCTTTAGAAAGGACACATCTACTGTAGACCAAATATTCTCATTAAAGAAGATACAAACGACTTGTTATGAATGTTCCCCTGCATGTTTAGTTTGTGGATTTTAGACAAGCATATGATAGAGTCGAGAAAATCAAAATGTATAGAACAATGGACCCTTGGCAGGGTCACAAAGCAGATCAATTTACGATTGCAAAAGCTTTGAGACAGGGAGAACCTTTATCCACTACATTCTTCTTCTTCGCGTGCCATATCAGATTTATCCGACGTTGGCGATCACCATTGAGGAGGCTTCTCGATCTTCTGCAATATGGAATAATTGTATTGCATTTGGTATCTGAGTACACTATCCTCTATCCACTATCCACTACATTATTTAACTTAATGTTAGAAACTGTAATCAGAAAATGCAGCATGCAGGTGGAAGAAACGATCATTAAAAATGAGCACCAGTGCTTGGCATTTGCTGACGATCTAATGATCCTAGCAAAAACCAAGAAAGAGTTAAGAAGAGTTGTGAAGAAAATCATCGAATAAGCACAGAAATTCGGATTGGAACTAAATGAAGACAAAACCAAATATGATCATGGGAGGGACAGAAGAGAAAAAGAAGACTTTAGTGTGAGGTCTGTAAGTGGTTAAAGATATACTTTTAAAAGGGTGGACAAATTTGAATACTTGGGTATATTTTTCGATGAGAATGAAAAATATAAATGGGAGCTTGATGCCAGAATAGTAAAAGGGAATAAAAAAATAGGTAGTTTAAGAGCCCTACTAAACTCAAAATACGTTTCTAGACAAGGTAAACTCAGAATATATAAAACAGTAATTCGACCCACATTAAAATATGCCGGTGAGACATGGACATTTAATAAGAAGGAAGAAGACACTCTGAAAAGATGGGAAAGGAAAATATTGAGACGCGTATTCGGAGGACGAAAGACAAAAGATGGTTGGGAGAGAAGAACCAACAATGAATTATTGGCTTTATACAAAGAACCTACCATTACCAAGACTGGAAAAGAAAAACACAAAATAGACTATTAGGATAATGTTGTAAAAAAATGCCCTAGGCCTTAACGGCTTGTTGTGCGTAAAAATAAATAAAGACATTTTTGTATGGTACTTACTTTCGTCTTGACGGTCTCAGGTGTATCAAATGTAAACCAATACTTATCAAAGGTAAAATAATTTGTATCATCAACAGTTGTAGCAACCTCAGTGGGATCATTCATCAAAGATTTTACCTAAAATAAGTCAAAATAATTCTAAAAATACTACCTGCTATAATGGTATAATGTACATAATATAGTATAATATACTGGGTGTTTTAAAAACGTATGTCATAAATTAAATCACGCATTCCGGGGACAAAAATAGATTTATTAAATTTTACTTATCTTTGTACAAAAGTGTACACAAAACAAGTTACAGCCCTTTGAAGTTACAAAATAAAAATTGTTTTTTTTTTGTATCATCTCCCAAACAACTTGACATTTTATAATAAAACTAGCCACGTTACTTTCTTTTTCTGAACACTGAGCCAAACAAGAGCCAAATACTTTATTCCAGACAGGGAAAAATGTAAAGTGCCTGTTTGCATGCAGACATTTTTAAAGTGCTTGAAAATATCACGTTTTAGAGTAAATCGTTTATCAAAATATTTTCGTGATGGAATAATACCAAAAGAAAGACGAGGTGTAGACCATACGGGTGATCGCTTTGGTCCTAAAAAGAAAGCAATAATGAAATTTATAATAGATTTAAATGCAGTGAAACACATTATTGCTCAAACAAAGGGGGCCGTAAATATCTCCCTTCTGAGTTGAACATCAAAAAGTTATGGAGAATATTTTGTGCAGATGAGAAAATTAAAGACATGGAAGTTAAAGAATGTTATTTCCGTTGCATTTTTAACAGAAATTACAATTTGAGTTTTGGCTCACCCCGTGTAGACGTTTGCTCTACTTATCTGGAATTGACCAAAAGGATTAAAGTTTGTAAAGAGACCGTTCAGAAAAATAATTTAATGGTTGAAAAAAGAGTGCACAAATTAAGGTCAAAAGCATTCTATGCATTGCTCAAGGAAAACGTAAATGATTTACTGATTATCTCTTTTGATTGTCAGAAGAATCAACCACTCCCAAAAATTTCTGACCAAGCTACTTACTACAGCAGACAGATTTATTTGAACAATTTCTGTTTAGTTGCTGGTCATTCTAAATCAAAAATGGGTACCCAAAACGTGACATTCTTTATTTGGACTGAAAATAAGTACCACAAAGGAGCAAATGAAATATCATCTTGCTTATTTTTGTATTTAAACTCAATTGTTGATTTGTCACCTTACAAAACCATTAGACTTATTTGTGATGGTTGTAGTGAACAGAACAAAAATACTATTTTAATTAGCATGGTGGCATACTGGCTTTCAAAAGCACCGGGTAATATTAAAGAGGTGCAATTGGTTTTCCCTGCCACAGGACACAGCTTTATACCTCCGGATCGTGTATTTGGTAACACCGAAAAAGATATAAAAAAGCAAGAAAATATTGTTTCTCCAAACAAATACTATGATATAATAAAAAATATTTAACGGTAAAGATACTCGGAACTGATTTAATTAACATGGATTGGAAAAATGCCATTATTGATGTCATCATACCTTCAAGTGGCTGGCACTTTGGCATAAAATCATGCAAACGTGTATATTTAACAAAATCAGGGCACACAATCCTTACTCAGGGAGAATGTAATTACAGAAATAAGTTGATAACTGTAAAGTCTATTGCAAAGCGAGGAAAACGACTGATCGAACTTCAACCCAAGAAATTGTTAAGGGGAATTGCCTAAAACAAGAAAAGAAAGATAACGTTCAAACATTATTAGGTAAGCATTATGGCCAGTACTGGAGACTTCTAGATACACTACAGTTTCTTAAGCATGCCATTGATAATGAATCTGCAGTCGAACAACATGACGAAACAGAAAAATATGAGCTTTTATGCCAACCGCAGGAGGAAATTTCTGCTTTTAACATTTAAATTTTTTTATTTTATTGTAGCTAATTTGATGTTGAATGGACATATTAAAATAATAATATAAATTTTATGAATTTTAGTTATTGGCATCTTTTACATTTTCGTTTATATTTATATAATATATATATTTGCAATAATATTGCAATCCATAAATCTAAGGTAAAAACCTAGAAACTGATGGTGTAGCTCAAACTCGCTCATTCGGGAATGAAGCAAAACGTACATTCTCCATATCGCTTGGATGCAAAACTCACATTTTTCATTTTTGAACTCAAAACTCACATTATCCAAACTTAAACATTAAAAAATATATATTTATAGTCATTTGATTTGTTTTTCACTTGAGCAGGGTATTCAAGAGACCAAAAGAAATGATTTGTAAAAAATAATCAAGAACATAGGCTTGGAACGTAGTTTTTACAGTTTTTTGCAATTTGCCAAAATTCACAAAAACGGAGAATGTGAGTTTTGCAGTTAGACTCCTATTATATTGTTATAATAGGTAAAATTGAAAATAATATTGGTTTGCTTTTAATATATTTCAAAGCACAAAATATAATAATTCAAATAATTCAACTAATAAACTATAACAGATATTTCGAAGAAATGAAAGTCCATTATCTCTTCATCAGAGAGATAGTTTTACTATTCGTTAGTTTTTCTTTAAGTATTAACAACACAATTTTTTAACAATTGCTTTAGAAAAAATAGGAATATTTTGATCAGGGGATTTAGAACAACAATTTTGATTTGAAATTTTAATTTATATTGTATATACTAATAATTTTTGAAGGATCACGTACGTATTTTAATTTTAATAATCATTATATGAGATATTTTTTAATATGTAAAGCATCGATATTGAAGCACGAGTATAACCCTGAGATAAGAAAATTAAATAGTGTGATAGAATCATAATTGCATCATCCAAATAAGTTTAATTAATTAATTAATTGGCTAATTAATTGCTTGGCGCACCTCAGACTTTTAATAACACATTAATATATATATATATATATATATATATATATATATATATATATATATATATATATATATATATATATTTATATATATATATATATTTATATATATATATATATATATATATATTTATATATATATATACATATATATATATATATATATATATATATATATATATATATATATATATATATATATATATATATATTACTAATTACCTCGTAATATGCCAACAATCCTGCCTCCTGAGTAAACTCTCCTGGGTCTCCCTCACCTGTGACTGGAGCACCTACACCTGTATTTCCTGTATCGGCTAATATAAAAGTTTTAGCATAGGCTGGAATGCCAAGGAAAAGCTTTTTCGATGGTAGTCCTGCTTGCAACCAATGCGAAATAGTGTCTTTCTAAAAAAAAACAATAACAAAGTATTTATAAGGTAAAAGTTATAAATTATTGTTTTAAAGTACGTTATAACCGTGGGGCGGATAAGGAAATTTATTTGGCAATAATAATAAAGTCACTTTTTGCTTAAAATACGAAATATTTTTTCTACAATCACGCAATAACACAAGACTATTTTTATTCTAAAACAGTTTTCTTGTGGCATTTAATATTATTTACTAACTTAATTGGGAATTAACAATTATTTCCTTTGAAAATACGTTTATTTTGACGTTGGTATTTGATCATTTCTTCATTTCATTCTTTTTTTTTTTTTTTGGTACTTAGGGCTGTATTCCGATATAAAAGATTCTTGGACAACTAGAAAACTTTTTCAGGTCTTGCATCGTTTTAATTTAGTGATCTTTCGTCCACTATTATTCCAGTAAAATTCTCATTTATTCATAAAGTAAGTCGATGATCGGCGAAAGAAACGTCCACTGTATCAATGGTATCCTGTCAGTTTTAAATATTTAGCAACTTCACCCAATATTCATTAAAAGAACATTCAATTCCATTAGATGATTAAATCACTTCCCTTTATTATAGTTTAAGAATATTCGTAGCGACGTATTTTTAGGAGCCTAACGAACGTATTTGCTCCAAATCGATAAACTATTAATCTTTGAGTGTCAATTTTTGTCTGTATATCGGAACTTCTAAACGAGATTGTTTATCGTCAATATTTCTTACTTCTTTTGACTAATTGGTTACACAATTATCATTTACATGGGAATTAGCTACGATTGAAGTTCTGCTTGTCTGGGTTCACGATTTCATACGTCGACGAATATAAGTACATAGGTACAGTATTAGATAAAAAATTACTTTGGACTTACCACATTACAACATTTTTAAAAAAGATGCGAAAAAGCAATAAATCTGCTAGACGTAGTTTTTAAGAAAACATGAAGAGCTGATGTTTCTATATCCTATAACTTCTACTTACTCTTCTTTTGGTGCCTATTCATTTCGGATATTGATGATCTGTCTGGCCATAATTATTTTATTAACTGATACTTCAAATAGTACTATCAAAGTATATGCAAAGAAATTGAGAGACATGCTCAGAATAATCAGCCGAGAGATCTATTTAGAAAAATACGCTACCTGACAAGAGACTTCAGAGCCAGAACTTGGGCCATTGAAGATAACACTGGAACCCTGAGAACAAACAGAGAAGACATAGCAGAGACATGGAGATCGTATTGCAGGGACCTATATAAAGATGATCAACGCCAAGAGCTTGTTAACCAAATCTCTGACGAGGTGGAAGAAGAACCCGATATACTCGAAAATGAAGTAAGACAGGCTATCAACAAGCTCCAATATAACAAAGCACCAGGTCCAGATATGATAACAGCAGAAATGCTCAAAGCCACAGAAGAAACCGGCATAAAGTTACTTCATCTACCATGTAACCAAATATGGCATTCCAAACAATGGCCTGAAGACTGGACAAAATTTACAATAACAACCATACATAAAAAAGGCAGCTTCCATAAATGCGACAATTATAGAACTATCTCTCTTATATCCCATGCCAGCAAGATAATGCTACATATAATCAATGAGAGACTGAAAACATTCCTTCAAAGAGAAATTCCACAAGAGCAAACTGGATTTATCAAAGGTAGAGGCACTCGAGAACACCTGCTGAATATAAGACAGATAATCGAGAAATCTAGGGAATTCAACATCCCACTATACATCTGTTTTATAGATTACCGTAAAGCGTTCGACAGGGTCAAGTGGAGACCCTTATGGCGAATACTAAAAGAAGTAGGCGTACCACAACATCTAATTACGCTTATAACCGAACTATATGAACACACTACTGGATCAGTTAAAGTACTTGACACACTTTCAAACAAATTTCATCCAGAACGGGGTATCAGACAAGGATGTATACTATCTCCACAATTATTCAACATATATGGGGAGTATATTATGCGAAGAGCACTTGAAGGATGGGAAAAGGGCATCTCAACAAATGGTCATAAAATAAACAACCTACGTTTCGCAGATGACACAGCCCTTCTTGCAAATAGTCAAGCAGAGCTGATAGAACTCATACGACTAATCGAAAACGAAAGTCAAATATTTGGTCTGCAATTAAACATATTAAAGACAAAGATCATGATAGTGGATAGACTACACAACAATTATCCACATATAACCACAATTGACCGGTTCGAGGTTGTGAGCTCATACTTATATCTGGGATCATTAATCACAAATACAGGGTCATTACAAGAAGAGATTAAACGTAGATGTGATCTAGCAAAAGTTGCCACAGCAAAAATGACCAAAATATGGAAGGATTGTCAAATTTCAAGAGCGATAAAGATGAAGTTGATCAACTGCTTAATATTCCCAATACTGACCTACGGATGTGAATCTTGGACTCTAAGACAATCGGAAAGAAGAAAGATAGACGCCACTGAAATGTTCTGTTGGAGACGAATGTTACGAATTCCTTGGACCGACCGTAGAAAAAATAATTCAATTTTAAGAGAGCTAAAAGTTAGCCAACGACTCTCTAGTAAAGTCCATCTCCAACAATTAAAATATCTTGGGCATGTTATGAGAGCAAACACAGAAAACATGGAAAGGCTCATAATATAAGGAAAGGTAGAAGGCCGAAGATTACGAGGAAGATCCCCAACAAGATGGATAGATCAAATTACAGGAATATGCCAAAGACCTATGCATGAGTTAAAAGAAATGACCAGAGACAGAGATCTCTGGAGACGGACAATACACGACATCACGTCGACCACTACACTCTCCCTGGGGGGTCAGGATTGAAGAGAGAGACTTCAAATAGATTAGTTGTTGTTGTGAAGAACCAGTTCCTCAGGTTTTTTAATCACGATATCCTTCTTCTCCCAATTTCTTGCTTTCCGAAAACTTTGCCTTGAAGGATTATTTTCAGTAATCTGTATTTAGTGCGGTTTCTCATTATGTGCCCGAGATATTCTTACTTTCTTCTTTTAATCGTGTACATCATTTCTCTTTCTTTCCTCGTTCTTGGCAGTATCTCTCTATCTTTCCCCAGTCTCGTTGGTTGTCTCGTCCATCCATGATATCCTTAAGATTCTTCTGTATAGCCACATCTCGAAGGCTTCAAGTTTTTTCTCCATCGCTTAAAAAAAGTTTTAGTGGGTCCCTACCATTCCAACTATCGAATGAAAGTGGTACTTTTCAGGAGGCGAAAATAACTTTTATTTAGAGAATTTTAGAGATAAATGGAAATTTTTTTATACTTTTCATATTTTTTTTTATTGGCTTTGGCTTGAAACCTTTAGCCACGTAATTACATATAAATATTAGTATTCATTCATACAGGATTGTACAAGGAGGACCCTTTTCACGCTCAGGGATTCATCAAAACAGATATAACGAACAAACAATTAATAAAATGTTAAATCAAAAACTAGACAAGAAAGCCCTGAAATTAGTATTTCCACCACCAGAGAAAAAACCCAGTACTTTCTGCTCGATTACATATACAGGCAAAATATCAACAAAAATAAACAAACACATAAAAAAGAAAGGAATAACACTAGCTTTTCGAAAAAATAACAATATACAAACTTAAATGTGGCGACTGCCCAAAAACTTACATCGGTAAAACTGGTAGAAACTTTAATAAACAAATAGCAGAACATAAAAGGGCTTTCAATAATAGAAAAACAGATTCTACATACGCACTTCACCTTCTAGATCATAATCATTCTTTTAATGACGAATTAAAAATTCCTCACATTCAAAATAAAGGCTATCCTTGTTAGAATCTATGGAAATCAACAAATTAAAAAACACAGATATAATTGTCAATTACCAACTTGAGACAAACAGTTCTCCCCTCCTCAACTTATTTCATTAGAGACTGTAAAGTGTAAACGCATGCCAAAAATAGATAACTTGAGAAAGGCAATCAGCCGAAACAGCTGTAGTGATAAGAGGTTAAAATAAATTTTGTGCAAGTGTGAAAACAAAGTTTTCAGTGTTTTATTGTTACCTTCGTCATTCTTGTTCTTGTAGTCTATCGTTTTATTAAGAGATTCTGATCTTAATTTCTGTACTCTCCGTTGTATATTCGATTTTTTTGAATATTCTACTTCTTGTTTTGCTGACTTTTTGTTTTACTTCACTACATTCCAGTTGTCTCATATTATTTTTTTTTTTGTTTTTGCGCATGTTTTCTTAAACTTGGTTCTCTACACGCTCATTAAAGGATTATCCTTTAATTATAATTCAAATTAAAATTCCTATTAATGTATGCGATCTACATTAAGGACTATAAGTGCCTTCACTATACCCTTTTAAATAAAAATAAAATCTTACCTTAAAAATAACACGTAGTTTTGAAAAAAAAAATTCAGAGCGGATGCTTAACACAATGCTTAAATGTCACTTTACTCACATAACCTAAAAATATTTACCGCCAAAATCACAGAATCTGTTAAAGGCAGAACATAGACATAGGAGTATACATAATACATAAACGAGTAGTGTCACCTAGTGAAATATACTTTTATTAGCACTTGCAACAATCTTATAATCGTAAGTTAATACTGTAACGTGCAATAACTGTCTCGTGTTCAATAACTGGCGTTTTACCCTATAGTGTCGCATCGGAAAATCGGATACGGTTTCAAAATAAAATGGGTCTTATCTCATAAAATATTCGGTATAAGGTAGCCCAATCTTATATTGATAGAATTCCTTAAGATCATTCCATCAAAATTCATAATAATATACAGGATTTTATATTTAAAACATGAAAATTCTAGAAAACTTCCGGTATAACCTTGTGTGTTGATAAATATCTACTTACTATTTTTGACAATGGAGAAGAGAGTCCAGTAACGTTTGAGTTTGATGTCACATAGTCGTAAGCCATCACATTGACGTTATCAACCAAACTAAAAAGAAGAAGAATTAAAAAGCCTTTTAATAAAACTTAAATTAGTATATTAATATTAGTTAATCTAATAACCCGAGTTCTGATTTATTAACAAGAAATCTTTTTGTATTATAGACTTGCTGAACGCTAAGTATGTCAGAGTGATAAAATATTTTCCCCCTTACCGTGGCCATATGATCTTTGCCCTTAGAAAATACAAATCTTTTTAATGCATTACATTTAAAATACCACTCAAAAAGTTTTTTCAGAACAACATCACCCGTCTTTTTCGTGTCTGATGTCTGGCAGTATTTACTTCGGCACCATTGAGTGTTTTTTAATTACGCCTTCATTTTTTCTGTTTATTATTATTATAACGTTATTCTTTTTTATCTACGATTCTATCATACTGAAAATACTATCTGGTGGCAAAAATGAATAACCAACAATAGGAATCGTAAACTCCACTTCCTTAATGTGACCAAGTGCTTCATAAACGAACCAGTAGGTTATCATATACATCATCTTGATTTTTTAATCTGATCAATCTCCAAATATGTAAACTTTTGCGATTTGATTTTTGAAGTTGAATTTTGCAGCAGTTTCGTGTACAGCAGAGGCAACAGCATTTAATTCGTTTTTTAAACAAAAAATAAGAAGCTTTAGCTCTTAAGGTATGAACTCATTACACTGATTAATTTTTATCTTTTATTCTTCTGAATTTTTTTTCTCAAAATTTCCTTCGTTCTGGGACACGCAGAACAATCATCCTTTAAGGGGTGCCTAATGATAAGTTGTTGTGTTCATGAATCGTACATTCGGAGATATGATAACTTTACGGAATGATTTGGATAACGTTGACAATACATTCTGTAAAGCTTTGTAAAAGTCAGATCACAAGGTAAATACAATCTCGTTGGTCGTTCCCTATTATAATGACTGTCCGTTTAAACGCCCCATAAATGTTTGTATTAATCTACCTTTTGTTGTATCTCATTCTCTTTTCTCTTTTGGTATTTCACTTCGAATAACAAACTTTTTTACTTGCTTTATTCTTTCAGAACTTCAACGAATTATGTCAAGAAATGGTTCCTTGTAGACTCTTAAAAGTACTACTATAGGAACAAAATGTTTAATTAAAATTCCGTGTAAGTTTGCACTTGATCTCTTGGGCATTTGACCTTTACAAAATGTCAGCAAAAAATATCTTGTTTTATTTTGTCAGTTGTTGAGTACGTATAATTATGGAACTGCTGAATTTCTAGCATCTTAAAATCTCTAAACCAATACACTTTCATTGTATAACTACAGGTGGGAATTTCTGGTAAATCCTCAGGTTTAGCTCTTAAAATATTGACAATAAGTCCCGAATATATCTAGTTAATTGTAGACACCTCTCACCTCTTAAGTTTCATTACATTTCGTTTCCATTTTTCTGTTTGTACAATTTGTTTTCTCCCTTTTCCTTTTTCACAAGGTCTAATATGCACATAGAGATCCATAGTATCCATTATTTGCAATAAACTTCATGTTTTTAGCATTGAAATAACAAACAGGCATCCGGTCATATGTACGCTTTCATAATGGCGTATCATGGTGTAATTGACATGTGCACATGTGACGTATCATTAAACAATGTAAGCTATCGGCCAATTGCAATTACGCAGTTACGCAAATAGTATAGGTTTATAAATAGAGAATTTTTGCATCTGACTGAAAATCTAAAGATTTCTAATGCCTATTTCTTAGTAAATACCTGAATTTTCAGCTGAGTTTCTACATCAGCAGATAGCTACAACATGTGACATATAACGGTCAGCTGTAGCAATTCTTACAATTTTTTGCAAATACAGTTTTGTATCTAGTGGAATCATGTACAATACATGCAAACAAATAGTTTACATTGACTCTATTTATATGTATAACATTTAATAAGATACATTTTTTCAAATTTTGTGTAATAAAGGTGTTTCTAATTACATTTGTATTTATTTTCCAATTTTTTGCTAGATACCGTGAAAATGACGATGGTCCAGCATAATTGTCAGTAAGTATAATATTCCACCTTTGTAGGGTTAAAGCTTAGCTCAAAGAATTACGAATAACTCACAAATTAAAGTAATACGGTACAGGGAATTCTTAATAAATAATAAAGTACCGCGAAAAACCATTTCATTACAATACTAAAATGCAGAATATTCCATTTAAGAAAACCTGACCAATCCTGTATAAAAAAGTTAAGAAGTTCAGTCAAGAAGATTAGATCCACCATTCTATCATCGTATGAGCACAATTCTAAATAACCTAGATATCACTCTTCCTTTCATTACCCATGTATCTCCTATATAGACACTTACAAGTTCTGATATTTCTCCAACATGGATATTATCTCTTCCAAAGTGCGATATCAGTCTTACATCATTTAAAAAATCTGATACTTCATCATACCTCTTTAAAACCAAAACCTTGGAGAATTTTAATAGTCATCGCAAGTCCATTCACATTTATACTGATACGTCAAAATCAGAAGATGGAGTGGACGCCGCATTTGTAACAACCAGCAAAGAACAGTTATTTTAACTTCCTAAGCAATCCACTATATTCTCTGGTAAACTATTTGCCATTCTTTAGGCAATAAAATTCGTCAATGAAAATCACATTGTTAATAGTCCAATAATTGGTGATTCATTCAGCTTATTATCCTCAGTAAACAAATTTTTTACTAAACACCCTATTTTAAGTTTAATTTAGTTGTAACTCATGATATATTACCTTTTATCCGTGACCTAATCTAGTTTGTCTTAAAAGCAATGTCTTGATGGATCCCTAGACGAGAAACGAGTGTCCATGTTTTATCCCTATCCTATCCTTAATAATAATTTTAATGCTTAAAATTTGTAATTCTACTTAAGTTTGAATTTTATATTATCTTTTTATATTGTACTACACAACTACACAATCTTCTTTCTGGGTAAACAAAAAACACTGTCTTCTTTCAAAAAAACACTTATGATATGCGAAATGTATTATCGAACTGTTAAGCTTTTTTGGACCCCTTCACATTACGGATATAGAGAAGCATGGGGAGGCGTAGAATGTCACGGCTGCGGAACCTGAGAGAGTTGTACGGATGTACATCAAATGAACTTTTTAGAAGAGCCTGTCTCAATGCGACTGACAAAAAGAGGTGAGATAAATATGGGTGACTTTTACGCTAAACCTTGTCGTGATGCTGAAAAAGAGCACATAGGAGCATACGGTCTAGGTACCAGGAATAATAGAGGATATAGTCTTGTATAATTCTGCATAGAAAATAATCTGTTAATAGCCAATGCCTTTTTTAAACAACATCCTAGAAGTCTATAAACATGGAAATCACCTACAGACAGAAAAGACAGAATTGTTAGAAATCAAATTAAATTAGTTTTTCTCAATAACATGTTTAAGAAGTACATACAATCTACGAAAGATATCCTGGAGCTGATATACATAGCGTCAACATCCAGTTATAATGGATTTTAGATTAAAAAGATCTCTCCGAGTTAAAAAGAAACAGAAACTGCTCCAAAAACAAAAATACCAAAAATACAAGATGAAGACATCGGGTTCATAAAACACAACAAAAAACAAAAATGGATACCGCAAGAGATCATAGACCTAGTGGACGTAAGACGAAAAGATAAAATAGGCCCAATAGAATACAAGCGAATTAATAGAAATATTAGAAAAAAGTGCAGGGATGCGAAAGAAAACTGGATGTGAACAAAATGCCTAGAAATCGAACAGCTTCAGGAAAATACGACATCTTTACTATTCATAAAGAAGTAAACGAAATGACAGGTAGACACAAAAAGAGACAAGCAACAATATTAAAAATAATTATAACAAAATAATTATGGGTACAAAAGACTAAGAGATGACTATGGGTAAGAGATTTTTACCCAGTAAAATCTCAGAAAAATGGAAAAGCCACCGGTCCAGGCAATCAATTTAGAAATAATAAAACTAATTGCAGATAACGAAAGTAAAAGACTATACTTAATAACAGCACTATTCAATAAGATATGGAAGAGGTTAAATACCAACAGACTGGCTAAAATCAATATTCGTAGATTTAGCAAAAAAATGAATTCCCCGCAATATGATTATTTTTGAATATTAAGCTTGATGTTACGCACTTGTTAAGCACTCAATTCGGATTTCGAAACGGATTACGAACACGAGAGGCTCTTTATGCTTTAAATGTGTTAACGTAACAATGAAAAGACATGTAAATGTATATGCATCTTTTATTGACAATCGAAAAGCATTTGACTGCATTAACCATTAACAGATGATCGAAATTTTGAGAACAAAGTTGACGAACAAGACTTACGAATTATCTCAGAACTATACTGGAACCAAACGGCAACAATTGAAACAGAGCACACAACATCCGAAGATATACAAATCTGAAGAGAAGTGAGAGAGGGTTGCGTCTTATCACCGCTACTGTTTAATTTGTATTCAGAGTCTATATTTAGAAAAGCGTTAGACGAGGTCCAAGGCGGAATCAGCATAAACAACATCAGATATACTGCTGATACCTGTCTTAATAGCAAGCAACGCACAAGAACTACAAAATATAATAAATGCAGTGGTTCACCACAGCGACATGTTTGGTTTACATCTAAACATTTCCAAAACTAAAACTTTATTATTTTCAAAGACACCAATCTTCTCCCCTCCTTAACCTATTTTATTAGAGACTATAAATTGTAAACGCATGCCAAAAATAGATCACTTGAAAAAGGCAATCAGCCGAAACAGCTGTAGTGATAATAGTTAAAATAAATTTTGTGGAAGTTGAAAAACAAAAAAGAGGTTAGTCTTCGTAAATGGGTATATTTATTTAAAAACCCTTAAAAGGGCTACATCAAAAAAACGTTTTCGGACTAAACAGTCCATCATCAGGTTTAAAATTTTAAAATTGCAAGGTTATAATGCCTGAGCCACCAAAATACTGAACATCACAGTTTTTTTACAACGTGATGTATACTTTTTTTATAATATGATGTATAATCTTTTACAACTATATGTAATTTAAAGGGTTTTTACCCAGGTATTTTGGTGGTTAAGGCATTATAACCTTGCAATTTTAAAATTTTAAACCTGATGATGGACTGTTTAGTCCGAAAACGTTTGTTTTTTTGATGTAGCTCTTTTAAGGGTTTTTAAATAAATATACCTATTTACGAAGACTAACCTCTTTTTTGTGATACGTGGTATACAGCTAGCTACAGGAATTGTTTTCTTTGTGGATTTTTTTTTGAAAACAAAGTTTTCAGTGTTTTATTGTTACATAAAATGAATTTCCATCAAGTAACTGTCGAATCTATCAATTACACCAATAAACGTACATGTGTATGCCAAGGGTCAACTAATAAAACAGGTAAATTCCATAAAATAGTTGAAAGTAAATATCAATAGTCAGTGTAATCCAAAAAAAAGAAAACCTATCAAGATTCGAACAAGCAAGGGAAACATTCATAAACATGAAAATATTTTTTACAAGATCAGACCTTAGTCTTCAAATTAGAATCCGAATGATCAGATGTTATAAACAATTCCATGGGTACAAAGAGATACTAATGTTGAGGTACTTCGTGGCATGTGTAAACAAAAAGAATTACTAAGAATAATCACAGAGAGGAAAATTCAATACTTGGATTATGTGCTAAGAGGCGAACGATATAAATTACTTCAAATTAAACTCAAAGGAAAAGTACAGGGCAAAATATCAGTCGGAAGACGCCAGAACTCGTGACTGAAAGACCTGAAGAGATGGTTAGACCTCTCATCCGTAGAAAGCTTTCGCGCAGCAGTTTCCAAAACTTACAATTGGCATTTAGATCGCCACCTTTCGAAAGAAGATGGTGCTATGAGAAGAAGAATAATAATTTTGGATAATAGTAGAATATATTAATAATCTTTTAGCCACAAGTAAATTGTGTGACTTTAAATTTATACAATTGTACAAGTTGTTATTAATTAAAAGTGGTAATGTTGTTATGAAATGTTGTTTATCAAAAATGATAACATTGAAAAAAGTTAAAAAATGCCCACCCTGTCGATATGGGCACCCCGGTCCAGTTAAAAATATATTCCATTAGGCGCTTATCCATACTCCAACCTTTACCTAAATATTTTTTTCGTATCTATTACTTCTTTTATTATTTTATCTATTCTATATATACTTCTATTATTATCTGCATTTATCATTTAATTTAAAGATACAAATATTTAAAAATAAAATTTCTCAGTTCGGTTCTGCTAGCGATAAATTACATCACGTTATCAGCTGTCTCGAAATTGTTTTAAATAGTAAAAATAAACCATAATTTAACATTTTATATTTCTACTATAAATTTAATTGCATTATTTACTGTTGAGACTTTTATCCCAAGTGACTAGCACTTCACTTCGTAATACTTTTGTAATGACAACAAAAATATAACCTTTAAATAATACCTATCTAAGAAGATAAAAGAAATTCCAGTTGGGCCTTGATCAATTTTTGAACCGGCCACAGGACCGGTTCAATTCTGATCAAGAAAATGAATAAAACGGATTCAAACAGTAATAATTCTAAACATAACTTCACGAAACAGTCTTACTCAGATGCCGTTAACTATTTTAATATCCTACAAATAACAAGCTATAATCACGTTCCGCATTGAAGGTACAACATTGTAGCAGTTGGATCACTCGTGTGTCCAGTTAATGTACTGTTTGCCTCTAAAATTTCTAATAACCAAATATGCATATACCTTTCTTTCAAAAACACTGTCGATTCTCTTCTTCATACATTATAAACATATTTAAATAAATGCGTGGCAAGTTGACTGCATACCCCCAATCCTGAACGAAACAATTGACCAAGAATTACAAAAACTTGCTATTTATACTGTTTTTACTAAAATTAGCTTTCTTCGAGTAGGTATGCCTAAAACTGTATCATCTTTCGATGATACATCTTTCGAAAATGTAACCATTCCTTTTATTTTTTTAACATAACTACCGGACTAACCTTTCCATAAACAGATTCAGCTGCTTCAAATCTAACCAACCATTGGCCACCAAAAACCGAAATGCACTAACAATATAAACCAAATCCCTCTCAGATTTAACCCAAAATACGTCATCATTATCTAAACCTTCATGATCATAATGATAAAATAAGTCAGTTAATGAAAACCAACCATATACTACATAAAGATAATTCAGACACTTTGTCTTCTTTGTCCAATACAACATCACCAGCTGTAGATATCATCAAACATAATACGACACCAAAAACATCAATAGCCACAAATAGTATAGTCAATTCCAAACTCCTAAAAAGACTAAACTTCTAAAACATATCATCTTGTGGAAATAACCAAAACAATCGAAAAACCGATTCACCCATTTTTAATACCCCTAAACAATCTAAACCAAAAAAAGCTCAAAACTTTTTTTAAAACCCAGTAAAAATGCTATTCACTCTTCAGACAAAGACAAAGTCGAAAATAGATAACCTCCATTTGGAAAATATTTTTCACTTTCATAACTAGTCATAACCCTTAAATAATTTGAAAAGATAATTTCATAGAACCAGATGAACTAATTCTGATCCTAGATTTTGTTTATTGTTGTTATACATAAAATTCTAGATTAAAAAAATCATATTACCAGGCTAACGAAAAAATAAACCCCTACCCGTCTTCAGCTGATGAAACTATGGGATTATTATGACAAGTTGAAGTATAATCAAGGCATGATCAATTCCTGTATAATTTATTGTAACAGAAATTTTCAATGTTTCACAAACAAACTAATAACCCTGTGTAATTGATGTGGATTATATGTTTCTAAATAAACACATTTTTCATTTCTTGTCGTATCTAATTAATATACTATTACTTTATTTACTAGAATCATGTAACAACTTACTCAACTAATTTTGGTACAAGATATGCCGTATTAATCAAGTCTACATCTATGGAAACAGCAATGGAGAGTTTTAGTTCGTACTTTTTAAACCTACTCTTCAGTTCCTGTAAAACAGAAATAAAATTTTCTCCATCTTCTTTAATACCACCTCTGGTAGTGGGATACTCCCAATCGATGTCAACTCCGTCAAATCCATAGAACGCTAAAAATGCTATGACACTGTCTGCAAAATTTTGACGTAGTTGTTGTGAATTTGCCATCTAAAATATAACTGTAATATAATAACATAAATATAAAATTAGACTCGATAAAATCCCAAAAATTTCCATTAACGTCGGACTGGTACTCGATCCTTATCGTTCTGTTAAGCGGCTGTTACATTGAATTAAGAATTCCCCAAACCGACGCGAAACTTTCGCAGCCGCAACCTATGCGGAATCGCGGCGAATCGTAAGGCACGACGGCTTATGCAGGTGTTCAGACAAGTCGGGGCGGAATCCGCAACGGTCGCGGCAGATCAGCGTTGTTTTCATGTAATGCTGCATGCACGATTTTTTCCGCTGCAGTTATAGTTTCGCGTAAACTAAAATGGTTGTTACAGAAAAAGTAATTGAAATTGTGAAACCATATCCTATATTTTATGATTTAAGGGACGAAGATTATAAAAATATAAGAAAAAAGTTTTATTGGAGTTTCAAATAAATTGGAGTTTCAACAAGAACAAGAAGCAGCTAGCTCTTGCACTTCCAATTCGAATACTAGATGTTCTTCTCAGAGCAATACACAGTTAACACCAATACTTTCCTCTATATATGTCGATACTAACAATACTGAATGTGTCCCGTACCAAGTCATTTCTTCTGGAGCTACCTGTTTTTTTTTTCAGTTTCGGCAAGTGCCAATAGTAGAAGAGCTTCTTCTTCACCAGACGAAGTCATTATGTATTTGTAAGCTACGAATAAACGACTAAAAATATAATTTGTTCACATTTGTATGACGAACAGTCGCGTCGGGTTTCGCGCCAATGTGGCGAAGCCTTGTCCGCTACCGCTCCAACTGCGAATGTTCCGCAACGGAAAATTCGCGTCTCAAAAGTTTCACGTCGGTGTGGGGAATCCTTATGAATTTATACAAAAATTTGTTCGTGTACATTCGTACGAAATCGTAAGAAACCGCAAGACGTAAACAAATCAGTATATTGAAATGTTTGTGGTTATAAAATATTGCTTACGACCATTTGTTAAGAGTTCATTCGATAGTTGTTCGAACGACACACTTGCGTTTTTTTGTATTTTGAGATTGCGAAGTACTACAAACGGTATCACAATATAGAGTTAAACAAGAACTTATGAAAAAAAATAGTAGGTCAAATGAAACTAGGAGGTAGGTGTACTAATTTTAATGAGTATAGAAATATTACATAAATGTGTTTTTAATGTCGTAAATAGTAGAAGTAGCCCTGTTAAAACCAACTTTTAAAGATAAACAAACAATAACTTTGAAAACTGTAATTTTAAAGGATCTTCTATGATTTTTTAGTAAAGTTGGGTCATCATCATCATCATCATCTTGGTGCTAAAGCCCTTAGAGGATCTCGACCTTCTCAAGCTTTCTACGCCATTTTGTTCTGTTTCTTGCTTGCATTTTCCAATTGCTGACTTCGATCTTTTCGGCATCTTGTGTTACCCCATCCATCTACCTCAGCCTTGGTCTACCCAGTCTTCTCATTCCCACGGGTTGCGCTATAGGAATATTTTTTATCATGTTCGATTCAGGGGTCCAGGCTACATGTCCTGCCAACTGCAGGCGGTTTCGCTTAATTATAGTGGTAATATCTTTACCACCAAACGTATGCTTGTAGATATTCTGCAGTTTAAAGTTATATGTACGCCCCCATATTCCGTTCTCACAGACCGCTCCGAATATCTTGCGTAGCACCTTTTTTCCAAGAATCGATAGAGCTGATTCATCTGTTCTAGTTAGCGTTTATGCCTCTGATCCATATGTGAGAAAGGGGAGTATCAGTGTTCTATATAGCCTTATACGAGTTTTTTGAGACAGTTGTTATCTAAGTACTTTGATAGACCATGATACCACCTGTTTGCAATTATTATTCACCTTTTTATTTCCTCAGATGTGTTATTATTGTGGTTAACCGATGTCCCTAGATATATGAACTCTTTCACTGTTTCGAAGTTTTGGTCATTGATGATTAAATCCTAAAAAACATTTCCAGCACTTGTGTTTGTGTTAGTCGCCATGAATTTGGTTTAATTTGGATATATATGTAAACCCATTCGTTCTACTGCTGCTACTAGCTCGGTTAGTATTTCCGCAGTTCTCACCTTGGTCCTTGTTATAATGTCCACGTCATCTGCATATGCTAGAATTTGGACTGGTCTATTAAATATCTTAATTAGCGTCTCGTACAACTCTGTCTAAGCGACATTAATAGGCTGACACATCAGCGCATCTCCCTGCCTTAACCCCCTATGTATTTCAAATGTGGTTGACGAGTGGTTTTAAATTTTTACTGTTGATAGCATCTTTGCCATTGTCACTTTTATCGAACATATGAGTTTTTTTAGAATTCCTAACTCATTAAGATTGTTGTAAAGACTTGGTCTTAAGACACTGTCATATGCTGCTTATGCAATCGACAAAAACATGATACATATCTATGTTAAACTCTTGCGCTGTTTCGAGGATCTGTCGTAGTGTAAAGATCTGGTTAATGGTTGAACGTCCACGCCTGAATCCTGTCTGATATTTTTCTAGAAACGTTTCGGTATAAGGCTTCAATCTTTCGTGCAAAATGTTTGACAATATCTTGTATGTTGTATTTAGGAGAGTTATTTCACGGTAATTATTGCATTCCAGTTTCCCTTTTTGTGTAACGGGCAAATTAAGCCTAAGCTCCATTCTTCAGGCATTTGCTCATCAAACCAAATTTTACAAACAATTCCTCGCATCTAACTCTGCTACTCTGCTGGGATACCATTGCTGCCTGAGGATTTGTGGTTCCTTAGTTTTTCTTTAGATATTTTCACTTCATCTACCGAGAGGGTTCCACGATTTCCTCATTTTGGTATTCTAGCTCTTTATTGTTTGTAGGTTCACCTTCCAGCAACTCTTGAAAGTGCTCTACCCATCGTAACAGTATATTCTATTCCTTGGTAAGTAAGTTACCTTCCTTATCATCAGTAAAGTTGGTAAGTTTTCCATATTATTTACTGGTCTTCACCTTTAGTAATTAAAACCAAATAGTGATCTAAAATATTTATATATTGTTTATAAATGACGTTTAAACTTTTGCATATTTTATTTAGTACATATTTTTTTCACCAAAATTATCAAAAGCAATTTTTAGATAAATGTATCAACTAATGTCATGGGAAAATTCTTAGTTCCCTGGTTTATAGTTAACAAAGGTACTGTAAACACCACATAGGAAATTGGCACCTCGCGCATGTGGCATGTACCGACTGTATTTGGAGAGATAAAGAGTGGCGTGAATATGCTTTTTATATAATTAACAGCATCGAAAAGTTACCGCTGAGCTCGGATCAAATCGATACGAAAGTAAGGATTTGCACTGGACCTTAGTAACCGGCGCCTACTATATATTTACATATTTATTCTTACCACAGAATATTTTCTAGAACCTTCATTCCAGCCACCAATAGCTAATATTGTTGTCAAACAAGGATTATCTTCTTTAAGGGCTGTAAAGTTTGCGAAGCCAGCTTAAAAAATTAAATAAAATTTGATATAATGTTAAATGCTCGAATAAATAAACTTTGAAAAATTAAATCTCAGGAGAGGGAATGAGATTCGCTCTCCTGTTGCCGACAAGAATGTAGCGTCGACTAATTTTTAACTAATTTTAAACTGTTTGTTCCTATTTAGTGTAGTGTTATGTACAATTTATGTTTAATTTCATGTTTATTACTTTCTGCGCTTGTTAGATAGCACAAATTTGATGAAATGCCCGCGATCATGCTTTAGAACGCGAAAGTAATTGGGCAAGATTTGATTAATAGAAATGTGTTCGAGATCTACCTTTAATTTTTCAAAGTTTAATTAAATAAAAAATAAATATTTAAATTTATAACAATCGTATACTTACTCAGAGTTACATCTTTATAGGGATCCAGTGATGTTGTCCTTTGATCTAAATTAAGACCTGCAAATGCATATACAATTGTGGTACAACTTTTGACGTCAATATCTTTAGTTGCAAATTTGCCGTTCTCTTTTCTATATACAGACCAGCTTCCCCAGTAGCAAACTACTTCAACATCGGGTTTCTTATCTAAAATATTTGATAACCTTAGTAATTATTTTATTGTTTGACATTGTTCCACTAAAAATACACTAAAATAAAAGCAATTTTCACAAAAATAAAAAAATCGGCTTGTTTGGTTGCTATGCTTTTTATATTTTCTTTATTTCCATTATTTGAGGCAACGATGAAAGATCTCGAAAATTTTGAATATTAACACTTGAATACTAACTATCGTAATTTTGTACGACACCAATGTCATTGTTGTAGGATATTGTGTAAGAAGTACATCAGTATTTCTCGCCCGCTCATCTATTCTTACATTAGTGTATATCGAAACGTTTTATAGATAGATAGATAGAACGTTTATTGACCACTTTACATAAAGTTTGAAGTCCGTATAAAAAATACAATAAAAGATATCATAATGTAAACTTAAAATTAACTTAACCATATTGGCTAAAGTAATATACATATGTAAGTATTAGCAGAAGAATTAAAATTAAACAAACCTAAACTGTCACATAAAAAATCTTTGAAATATGGAAGTAACAAAAATGTACAAATAATTAAGAATATTCCCGAATCGATGACTAAATAAACTAATACATAAAACTTTAATAGTAATAATACAATGTGATATGTAGACAGTAAATCGACAGTATTCTGACCAAACTGGGTATACGTTATAAAGGTGTATTGAGGTATTCTGTCTTTGAGTAAAAACAATATGTTAAAAAATGCTTTCTGATCCTATTTTTAAACAGTGGTGGAGACAGAATTTTTATTTCGTTAGGCAGATAGTTATACAAGTGAATATCAATTGAATTCTTTGTGCTCTTTGAGAGTCTGAATCGTTGTGACCTAATTAAATCCCTCGATCTTGTTAGATGATCATGTAATTGGGAGTTTATAGTAAACTTATTTTTATTATCGTGAATTTCCAACAGTGTTGCATACATATAAAGCGAAGGTAGAGGCATAATACCCATGTTCAAAAATAATGGTTTACAATGATCCCTTAAATCCGCTCCAGCAAGTATCCTCACCACCTTCTTTTGTAATTTAAATATTCTGTCGGCATGACCAGAGTTGCCCCAAACAGCTATTCCATATTGTATATGACTATGAAACAATGAAAAGTAACACATTTTAAGGGTACTTTTAGGTACCAAATAAACCAGGTTACGCATTACAAATATTGTACTGGCGAGTTTAGAACTTAAGTTGTCTATATGGATGCCCCAATCTAAGTTGTCATCCATAAAAATCCCTAACAATTTGATGCTATATCCAAAAATGTGTCTTCGATCTGAACTGAAAACTATATTTTGATTTTTATCCTCGTTTAGTTTTAGTTTATTATGTGTAAACCAGTTTTTAATTTTAAGCACATCGTTTCCTATTTTGTTATTTAAATTATATTGATTCTGGTCGGTACTAATAACGGTTGTATCATCTGCAAAACATATACACCTTAAGGGGTGGGTATAATGAAATATATCGTTGAGATATAGAAGAAAAAATGTTGGTCCTAATATAGACCCTTGGGGAACTCCATGTTCAACATTGTGAAAATTGGAGTAGTTATTATTTAAAAAAACGGCCTGTTTTCTGTTTATTAAATACGATCGAAATAAATTAAGAGCATTTCCCCTTATGCCATATTTGTGCATTTTGTTTAAAAGTAAAGTATGTGAGACACAATCAAAAGCCTTAGATAAGTCACACAATGTTAAGGACACGAAGTGACCTCTCTCTAGGCCATCAACTACTTCCCTTACAATTTCCTGAATTGCTTGAGTAGTGCTGCATTTTTTTCTGAAACCATATTGATTACAATGAAGTATTTTGTACTTTTCTATGTACTCTATTAAACGGTTATTCAAAATACTTTCAAAAATTTTACCAAGAATGGGAATAATAGAAATAGGGCGATAATTTTCAATTTCTTCTGAAGATCCTTTTTTGAGTAGCGGTAACACTTTTGTTACTTTTAATACATCGGGAAAGATTCCTTCGATAAGGCAAAGATTATAGAGTATGACCAGTTTATCAATAATAAATATATGTACAGTTAGGCCTACATTATCAGTTTCATTTTTTTAGTGTAAAATATGAATACGAAAAATAGAGACATGCACAGACCTCTCACGTAGCAGGAGTTGGAAGCTCAATTTTAATTATGCGTGGAAGAACTTTTGGCCAGATGAATCGGATAACAATTTTGATAAATTAGAAAGTGGATCTGAGACAGAAAATGCCGTTTTAGAATTATTCAGTCCATCTGAATCAGGTTTCGAACCATTAAGCGAAAATGACTAAGAGTCCGACCATTACTTGCCATTCAGTAGTAAGAAAAGAAAAAGAAGTTCTACAAAAAGTAATGAGTTGAAAAAACTGTTTACTTTAGTGTTTTAAGAAAAGAAAGTAATGGCTCTAAAATCGACAAGTAAAAGAAATGTTCTACTTAGCAAACTCCATCAAACAAAGAAAATCTCCAGAGATTGCAGCTAAAGAGAAGCAAACTCGGTAGCCGTCGAGACTAAATGGTGAAAATGGACACAGGTGGGCCCCTCAACCAAAGCTACTAAAACTTCAAAAGGTAACTTGCGAAGTGAAAATTAAAACGTCAATAAACTTACTTCAACCACTAATTGTGACTTATTCTCATTTAAACAGCATTTACTATAAAATTCCACAAGAAAATAGCTTCAGAACAATATAAATACATTATTGTTGTTATATTTTTGTTGCGAAGAGTTTTCGTTTTTGATGTGTTTCAAGCTTGTTTAAACTGATACTTAGTGGTCTTGTGGTTTCTCCTACGTAAAAATTGCTGCATTCACAAGGTATTTTATAGATGCAGTTCATTGATCTGTCGTGCATGTTGTTAGGTTTAGTTTTTGATAAACCAGATCTTCATGTATTGTTTATATTTGATGTTGTACTTATTTTCTATCTTTTTTAAATTTTCTGATACGCCCTTTATATATGGTATAGTTGTCATCATTAAATCCCTTCCTGTGGGCGTTCCTGGACTCTTGGCTATTGCTTCTCTCTAATCTTGTGAATTTACTTGTTTATGAATTGGAATTTGTTAAAATCTTTGTTAGCAGTTTTGTACTTCTTTTACAGTATTTTCTTTAAAGCAGGTGTTTTGAGCTGTATCCTTTACTGATTTGATAACTTCATTTACGATATTTATAGTGTGTTTTATATGGTAATGGAAATAATTGTTAAGCAATATTTATAATAATTTTTGAACTATAAATTAAGATTTTTAACTTATGTTATCGCTAGATTACCCAATATGACATATAAAACAGGTAACAGAAAAGCACGCAAAAGAAAATTTAAAAGTTTAAAGCCATTTTTCTTAAAATTATATTTAAGTACTTAATTTAAAGAAAAAAATAAAAGAATTAAAGAACATTACAGAAGATCGCTGGCAACGAAATATGGAAAACAGTAGAAAATTCAAAAATACCATAATTAACACAGCAACAGAATCACTTACAGAAAGAAAAGTAATGAGCACTAATATATCACAAAAGAAAATAACATGGTGTGGAGAGGAGTGGAGACAAAATATAAAGAAAAGAAGAAAGCAACAATACAGAACACAACAAATCCACAGTCATATAACCACTATAAATAAATCAGAAATGAAACGAATACTTTAGTTAGATAAATAAAAATGGACCACAGACCAAGTTTCTCAAAACAGATGGACCACGACTTCTACGGAATACAAAAAAAAATATGCAGAATAATCCGAGGACAAAGAAAAGAGACGAACGAACTAATAAAAATGAAACATATTCAGAAGAAAACATAGGTAGACTACTTTCAATCCCTATTTGCTAAAGGTGATCACAATGAACCACCAACACCAGAGGTGACGACAAACAAAGAAATAAATATTGAGGAGGTAGAGGTAAAGAAAGCATTACGAAAATTAAAAAATAGAAAATCACCAGGAAAGGAAAAAGTACCAAACGAACTCTTAAAGTACGGAGGGTCAGATCTGACAGAATTCCTCAAGCATCCTAATACATTTTTTTAAAGGCAGACAAATTGGTCCTCGCAAATTACAGAGAAATTAATTTATTTAACACAACACCAAAATTAACATAAAAAATAATAGCAAATTAACTGAATGAAATTAAAACACTATTAGAAGGACAACACGGTTTTAGTCCAGAAAGATCATGGGCCGACGCTATATTTAGAGTGGGGTTAGTGCAAAAGAAATTCTTAGAATACAAAAAACCATCCTATGTTTCATATATCTTAATAAGGAATTTGATAGGCTCAAATTAAGCCACGTTATCCACTTATTGTAAGCAAGAGAGATACCCCTAGAAATAATTAAAATGATCGAAAATATGTAGCAAAACAACAAAATAAAAGTAAATATAGTGTTGCAGTTTCGCAACTGTATATAAACATTTGTAAATGTATTAACAGACTTTTTAATAGTTTCTATTCTCCTCGTATATTTATAAACCAGATTTTCATATAAGTGACAAAGCCGTTTTAAGGGCTAAAGATTTCAAGGCGGGCCATCTGCGAAATATCAGCACATGTGTGTGCACCTAAAATAAGGGTTTGCGTTCCATTCAAAACCAGAGTCGAAATGCATCTCTCAACCGATGCACATGTGTATGTTGAAGACGAAGAGTACCTGATTCCGCATCGGCCAAGAAAGACGCTAATGTGCATCACAAATTTTGGTAGTTGAAGTGTCGCTGAAGACATAATTTGCGATAGCGTTGGGGCTATCTTTTTCATGGGGTAAGAAACAATACACCATATTAATTTGTTGCTGCATATATTAAGTAGCACTTGGTATATTTATTTGATATTTGGAACTTCATCGTATTTGTGCCGAGATCGAGATTAAACATTGTTAATTGGACATTTTGCATTTGTTTCGGTTTATTTAATGTATTGTATATTTTTTTGTGTATTTTGTTAATACCGATATTATTTCTTGTATGTTTTGTTTTAATAATTGTACTTGTA